ACTGATCTTTGAAGCCCTTTGCCTTCTCTTCTCCCTATCGTAACCTCCACAGCCTGTTCCTAGTTTTGAAGTGGTGGTGGTAGAGTAGGCAGGAGAAGTAGGAGGGCAAGCAGCAACAGCATTGATGGCGCTGCTGTGTCAGAGTGATGATGATGTCAATTGTATGTAAATATGGCAGATTACATGGCTATTATAAAAAGGGGGGATCACAACTCAAAAAGTTGGAAACAACTGGGCTAAAAAAGGTCCACATGTTCATTATGGATCAAAATCATTCTTCTGGTTGACTTTTTTTTTTTAAATGATATGAATTGCTTGGTGTGGGCACTGATAGGCTTCCTGTTACATATTGAGTCACATACTAACCACTACATTTTTATTTTGCTGCTGATGCTTCAGCCTTTTAAAAGTAACAGCTGTTTGAACTGTTTTCATTACTGTATTTTATGTTGTGTAGTATTGAGTGTATTTTACAAAAAAAATGCAATTTTATAAATAATATCTAAAACACAGTTCATTTTATTTATAATAATTTTAATGTATAATTAAATTGTAAATTATGACTATGGTAGAATTCATTTTTTCTTCCTTAAACACAGATATTTATGGAAGCAACAAAAGTTTAATTAGTTGGTAAACCGTTTTTTCCAGGACAGCTGTTCATCGCCACTATATCAAGTCTATTAGGTGGAATTTGTATTATTTCTCTTCTTAAACCCAATATATAGACTGTGAAATCTAAGCAGTTAATCAGAAAAAAACAATAGTATTACCCCAAACTAAAATGTACACATCTCTTGTATAGAAGTGCCACAACATGCAGTATTGCCTTAAAACATTTATTTCAAGAAAATAATGAGCCAATATATATATTTATTAACCTGAGAAGTAAAGACAGTTTTTAATTTACTGATCAGAGCAGGATGACAAGGAGGTGAGCAACAGCTCATTAAGTCATATATATACATCATAATGTCCTATGGATATTTATAAAGTAATCCAGAATCTATGCACAGATCAAGCCAATGTTGCTCCTCATCACAAGAGTTTGTTGATTCTGAAGGTGGCACCGATGGCATATTATTTAAGGCATTACAGTACAAAGTGATGAGAGACAACATGTGCTGGTTGGGCTATATTGCATAACGCACAGAAGCAGCAGCAATTGGTTAAAGTTACCCCTCAAGGCGAAACTTTAAGTATGAAGCATTTATAAACACCAGTTAACTTGTAGTCGTATGACTTCCAAGTGCAGGAAAAGGAAATGTTTTCCATTTCTGCCTCAACCTCGGGTCAATGCTGATAGCAGCAAAAGCCACAGTAATGCCTCTGATGTTCACAGATCCTACTCTGAAATTTTACCTGCATAAAAGCAAGAACATATAACATATTTTCCCAACAGGGATTTTAGAATGAAGACATTATTTCTAATACATATGGTTCATAATGTCTCTGCTGGAAGAAAAAAAATACACTGTAAAAGTCAGGAGCCTGCTCAGTGGAATAAGACATTTACAGGGAAACAAGCCAGACACATCTCAGTTCCTCTCTCTACAGCCACAAGCACAGTGGCGAAGCAGTCATGGAATCTATAGTACAACGATACACTAATCTGCAGGCAAGTGGCTAGACGCACAAGACAAATAAAAGACAGTGCTACGGAAGGTTGTAAATTAAAACAGAACTTGGCTAGATTCCTACAGTTTACAATTTACATTTTCATTCAAGTTTGCCTAGCAAATGTTTTCCTGGATATATACAAAATGGAAACAGTTTATTGCTGCAATGGAAGATGCAAACCTTAAGAAAACAGCAGCACCAATTTGAAGCCTCTGATTGTCAAAATGAATTTGAAGACTTAAAACAGTGGTATTTCATGTTTAATATTTCCTGAAGAGTAACTTGTAAAATACTTAGCAAAGGTTTCCAAAGAATACTGCTTTTAGGATACTTTAGTCATCTAATTTCAACAGTTGGTAACCACATACTACATAAGCATGATGCAATCCCTGCATACTGAAGAATCTTCACAACACATAAATGAGATTTGTTTTCTCCCATCTCTCACCTTTGACTGAAAATTTATTGATTGAATATGGGGGGAAAGGTTAGAATGGAGGAGTAGCAGAAAGAGAACTAGATCGATGAGGCATGCACAGTCTCACATGCTTCATGGTTATGGACATGTGTTAGGGCAGAGGGAAATACCAGGCTTTGTTTATGGGGTATATGCACGGAACCGTTTAGGGAATGATCACGCCTGCAGTGTATCCTTGTTCAACTTAGCACCCTGAGGTGTTTCAGACCAGAATCTCCATCAACCCCAACTAGCAGGGTCAGTTATCAGAGATAATGAGAGTTCTAGCTGCAAAGTTCTGGAGGGTGCCAAAGGCTAGTGTAGGATTTAAACTGTGTTCTCTGCATTTGATGATGTTAATAGCAGGTAATTTAGAAGTTTATATTTAAATGATATAGTGGACAAAATCCTGTTGCTTTAA